TGTCTTTGGAAGATCAGTGCTATAATTGAATGCAGTTCTAGGTTCTTTTTCTTGAAAAATGCGGATGTTTCCAACAACATTTTGGGCTGTTAGGAGGTAGGGGAGGAAGGAGGAAGAAGGAATGGGAAAAAGGAGAAGGAATTAAAAGGAAAAAAAAAGAATCATCAGATTTAGAGCTGGATGAGAACTTCTCTTTCCAGTTCTTCTTTTTTTTTTTATATGTAAGGAAATACAGGTTCATGGAGCTTCAGTTGTCCGAGCTGTAGATCCCAGCTGGAATCTGGAACCCATTTATTTTGATTCTATTGGTCTTAGAACGATTTAGGCCTATTATACCTTCAATAATATGGTGTAATAGAGCATGGAGTTGGGAATTGGATAGACCTTGAGTCCTGATTCCTCATGATTCAACTGTATGACTAGAGTAAGTATTTACCTCCTCTTAACTATTATTCCTTTATCTGTAAAATGGGACTAGTGATACCTCCCTTGGAGGCTTATTGTGAAAACTAACCACTAATGTATGTAAAGCCCTTGGCTCTTGCTCAGTTGTAGGACAGGAAGACAAAGCTGTTGATGCTGGAAGAGCATCTGGGCGTCTGTGCATGTGTTAAGATGTGCAATTTGGAGTAAGCCAGCCCTTTCTGGTCTTATAACAAGGCATGTAGGAACCCCAGCTGGTGCTTCAGACCCAGATTCACGTATTTCTTGAGCACCTAAAATGTACCAGATGCTGTGCTCGGTGCTTTCACACACGTTATCTTGTTAATCCTCCTAGCCACCCAAAGAGGTGATTGTGGTATGCTTTTCATGTACTTACAAGCAGTGAAAAGTCTTGTGTGTGATAAAGGCTGAAGGTTTGGGAACTTCTTTCTCAAAGCAGACCCTCATATGTAAGAGACTTAAATGAGTCATTCTCTTTAAGGCATGATTTAAAAGTACCTGGCAGTATATGAGCTAATGTTACATCATGCACTAGGCTTGTTGCTCTTGGCTTCCCACTTCCCTGCACACCCTGCTTAGCTCTTGCCTGCTTCTAACATTTCTGCAGAGTAATAGGATGTGGAATGAGCAGATTCTATAATATGACATCTTCTAAGATCCTACCTTTCTTTCTTCCCTCTGAAAAGATCACAGACACAAAGTTGTGATGTTTATTCAGCCATGCTTGGTTGAGCATATGCTATATGCTATGTGTTATGTCATATGCTATGTGTTAGGTACTGGATGTTAGGTGGCTACAAAGATGAAGGTGACATGGTCCCTGCCTTAAGGAGAAGCAGCATATATGCTTGTTGCACCACAATGCATTCGTGGTTAATTGTGTTAACTATTAATTAATTTAGTTAACTCTTAATAATAATTGCAAACATTTGCATAACATTTACTATGTGCCAGTACTGTTTCTGAGTGCTTTTCATCTAGTAGATCACTTAATTCCCATAAAAATTACCCTTGAAGGCTGCCAGCCACGACTTCTCCTCCTACATCTTGGCTGCCTTTTCATCTCAATGGCTAGGTCTTGTAAACCCTCCAGTTTTGTCTCCTCCTCCTCGACTGCAGTTGCTTGACCATTCAGTCAGTTTCAAGGTCTGTTGTCCTTGTTGCTACAGCTGCCTCAGCCACCGTCGTGCATTGTATTCACTTCAGTGTCAGCTGCCACCCTGTCACAATCCGTTGTCTCAGCTATCACCCGTTGGCTGTCTTCTCTATCTTTGCTGACCGTTGTTGCCACTGCCCTTCACCACATCTTGTTTGTTGCAGTATTGAGAGTTCTTTCAACAGGTATGATACAGGTGACAAAGAAGTGGCTGCATTAGACCAAGGCGACCAATCTAATGTGAAGTGCATATAGGATGAGGGGACAAGCGGAGGGCAAGCATTGAGAGTGATGATGGGCAGGTGGCGTTGTGGAGGGAAGTATGAACATGCTGCAGGAGTATAGTGAGGCTCAGGATGCTGATGATTCTGAGGAGGCTGAATACACCTACAAAAGGAAGAATGTGGTGATGAGGCAGGAGATGGGGTTGAAGGTCAGAATGTTGTGGCGAGGAGGCAGGTTATGGTGACCAGGAAGCAGAAGATATCTTTGACCAACTCCATTTTGCCGTTGATGCTTTTCAGTTTGTCATTGAGGATTTTGAGCTTACCATTGATTAGGTTGATTTTATTGATGAAGTTAATGATTGATAATGTTGATATATACTACAGTCAGTGGTTGCCTTATGTGGATGAATACCCAGTCAGTGCCATCAAAATCCTTGAGGCAGAATATGTCCAAATAGAAGCCAAATTCTATAAGGAAATTAATCATCTTAAGAGAAAGTATATTGACATCTGTCATGTATTTGCTTTTAAAAATTCTGGATGCCCAGGCTGTACCCCAGACTAATTAAATCAGAAGCTCCCCAGGTGGTTCTAATGTGCAGCCAAGGTTAAAATATTGCTCCAAAGAAAGGCTTCATTTTTGTATGACTTTTTTTTAAAAAATTTTATTGTGCTTTAGGTGAAAGTTTACAGCACAAATTAGTTTTCTCATTAAAAAATTTATACATAAATTGTTTTGTGACATTGGTTGCAATCCCTGCAATGTGTCAGCACTCTACCCCTTTCTATCCCGGGTTTCTTGTATCCATTAGTCTAGTTTTCCTGTTGCTTGGTGCCTTCTCGTCTTTGCTTTTGGGCAGGTGTTGCCCATTTGGTCTCATATACTTGATTGAACTAAGCAGCATGTTCCTCACATGTGTTATTGTTTGTTTTATAGGCTTGTCTAATGTTTAGCTGAAATGTGGACTTCCAGAGTGCTTCAGTTCTGAGCTAACAGGGTGTCCCGGGGGCCATAGTCTCAGGGGTTCCTCCAGTCTCTATCAGATCAATAAGTCTAGTCTTTTTCTGTGAATTTGAATTTTGTTCTAGATTTTTCTCCTGCTCTGTCCAGACGGTCTATTGTGATCCCTGTCAGAGTGGTCAGTGGTGGTAGCTAGGCACCATCTAGTTCTTTTGGGCTCAGGCTGGTGGAGGCTGTGGTTTATGTGGTCCATTAGCCCTTTGGACTACTACTTTCCTTGTGTCTTTGTTTGTTTTTTTTTTTCATTCTCCTTTGCTCCAGATGGGTTGGGACCAATAGATGTAACTTAAGTGGCCACTTGCAAGCTTTTAAGACCCCAGATGCTACTCACCTCTTTTTAAGAATTTAAATTGCTCAGAAATATGATTTGGAAACACGATCTATTTTGAAGCACTTGAAAGATATCAGAGTATTATCTTTCTTTTTTTGAGTTTTAAAAATAACTTTATTTAATAATCAGTTGTTAATTTTCACCCACATTGACCTTCTGTAGGTTTTTGAAAGTAGTGGCAGATGTATAGGTAACCAGTATATAAAGCTTGTTTGGTGAATCTTCATCCTCATTATTTTCTGGACAACTGTTCATGGATACAGTGTAAGACCATTCCTTATTCCTTTGTCCCAGATACTTTGTTAAGCCTGGTGTCAATGTGCACATCTGAAATTCCCACGTCCTTTGTGGCAAATTTCTGGATCGCCTTGAGTTCCCAAGGGACACACTTCTTGAAGCCTACTCCATTGATGCACTTGTGAATGTTGATGGTGTATGTTCTAGTCACCACTTTGTTAATGGCAGAATGACCCTTCTCACCTTGGCACCCATCTTTGCGGGAGCCATCTAAACCCAAGTAGGAAGCAGCTTCAGAGTCGAGTGAGACAAGCCAAGTCCTCTCTCCTGGGCTCTGCCTCACACTGCTGCGCTTGGTGTGCTTTTGTGTATGGAAGGTCCAGCCAGGCCCCTGCAGCCCTGGGTTTGGGCAAAGCCAACCCAGCTACCCCAGGGCCCAGTATCCATGTCTTTCAGTTGCCCCTGTCCCCAATAGGCTTCTTTTGGAACCCAATGGAGGTGTTGACATATACACCTAGGTCAAATCAGATACTTCTGATCCTTTTTTCTCCGATGGCAAGGAATTCTAGGCTCAGTATATTGGACAAAAGGAAAGATTGCCCCTCTAAAAAATATTCAGAAGGAGCTGTAATGCAGTGGACATGGACATGTTGCAATCACAAGTGAAATGGTTTACAATGACTCTTTTTGAGTACTTTGGCACTTTTTCAGTGAGTCCCAAGATTAATATGGTACTTCACAGGGGAATCTGTTGGAGATAACCATGATGACTGAGATACAAAAGCCCAAGGTGCTGATGATGATGAAAGGGAAGAAGCAGAAGAAAATATTAAAGTAAAAGAACCAAAAAAGGATCCATACCCAGCAGGGTGTGAGCCACAGCAAGTAGGGGTGTGAATCCTTGAGGATGATCCTGTATAATGGCCTTAATGTAACTTTCCATTACTTGCATCATTATGCATTAGAATGTTTTTGGTTAAGTAAAATATTTTTATTTGTTTTAAAAATGAATTGGAAACACTCATTCTAATTTTAATTCTAATAGTATAGTTTTGTGCCATTATATGGGAGGATGTAGTAAAATATGTATGATCACTGGTCTATAATTGGCTTATCGTGAAGTCATTTTATGTAGCCATGGGACTACAGCTATATTTATCAGAACTGTTAACTGATACCAGTATTTGCAGAGAAAAAGTTTTTTTGAAGAACCAACTAAAGTGGTTTTTAGATCAGTTTGCATTCATTATCTGTGACTTTATCACATAGAAATATAGTCTTTTGTACTCACTAGGAGGCAGTGTCTCCTAGTCTTGGAAGTGAAAGAGGTAGCTTAGGAATTTGGAAATGAGTGTCAGCATGAGTATTCTTGCCACATACTAGCCATTTGGAGGTGGCATTTAAGTACTGCAAACAGTGTTTCTGGCAGCTTTGGGCTTGGTTTGTTGGTGGGGTGGTTAGTGTGGATGCAGCTGGAAGTGGGGCAGGAATGTGGAAGGTGCTTCTCTCTTGGGCTCCCTTTGAACCAGTCATTGAGTTGCACAGGGCAGGCTGGTTTTGGAACAAACTCTTCTGTTGTTGCAGACGGCAGAATGGCTCCAAAAGTAACTTCGGAGCTGCTTCGGCAACTGAGACAAGCCATGAGGAACTCCGAGTATGTGACAGAGCCAATTCAGGCCTACATCATTCCGTCGGGAGATGCTCACCAGGTACTGAGTGGAGATGGTGATGGAATCATCAGCCTCTCTTTCTTTTTCATTCCCCCACCCCCACCCCTGCCCCAACCCCAGTGTGTCTGCCGGCCTTCTACCTGAAACTAAGCATGTCCTCCAGGGCTTCACACAGGGTCTTGTGTCCAGTAGAGTCTCACCAAATACTTGTTGATTTGGCCCACGCTTCCTTGTTTCTAATGAATATAGCCAGTTTTCAATAAGTTCTGGAAGAATTAGTGGATATATTAAGGAGCACAAATCTTGTACCTTTTCTGTTTGCTGACACCCTTTATCCTTGTTCACCTACAACCCCCTACCGCATGGATTCCCACCCTAACAGGTGTTAGGGATGATTGGAATTTCACACCCCACCCTGCCTCCTGCCATCTTTGTTAGAAGCAACTCAATAAACGTGCATTCCCTCTGAGAACACTATTGATCTAAAGAGGAGACAGTTGGGTTTGGAAAGATGTGGACCTCACGTGATGGGGCTGAAGGGCAGGAGAATGAAAGGATTCTAGGATCTACTCTTTTAGGTCATTGAGTCAGCTAGTGTTTGAGTGCCTAAACCATGATCAAGATACTATAGGGGTTACAAAGATGAATTTGAGATTGAGTTCCTGCCCCCACTGTGCTTACAGTTTATTAGAGTAGATGGGACAAAATACAACGTACTGTTCTTCCATAGAGTTATCTATACGTACATTTTTTTCCCCAGCCTTTGCTATGTGAAAGATACTACTTAGGTATTGTACAGGATACACAGATGAGAATTGTCCCTGGTCTCAAGAAGCATACAGTTTAGTAATGGAGTAATGACATATATACAAATATCTGTCTTGCAAGGTAGAATGTGGTAAGTACCATCAAGCAAATCTGGACAGAGGAAGTTGGAAAATGAGAGGGGACGGTGAGGGAGGGCTTCATGGGGTAGCGAGGCATTTGAGCTGGACCTTGAAGGATAGGTGGAGTTTGGATAAATAGCAGCGGTGGGTGTAGGGGGAGGGAGGGATGGGAGGATTAGTAGGAGCAAAGGCAGAGAAACAGAGAAGCTTGGAGTGTATTTCAGAAACAACTTGGCAAGTTTCCCTGACAAGAGCTCAGGAAAGTGAAAAGCAATACCGGGAAATAAGGCTAGCATTTTAAGATTCTTTAGCTGCAGGTAAGAGAGACCACCTTGGAGTACCATGAGCAATAAAAATATTCTTCATGAGGGGTTAATGTAAGGGCGCTGGTGCAACTCCAGGTTGTGAATGGTGCCCTCTGGAGTTGTGCAATGTCAGGGCCCCAGATAGGGGTGTCTTATGGAATCTGAGGGCAGGAGAGCAGCTGGCCCTCAGGAAGAACGGGGATGGAAGGATTTTTCAGCTCTTGCTACAGATCATTTTCTCTCTTTCTCAGTCAACAGGGTAGGTAGTAGGTGGCAGTTTGGACACGTTTATATCTCTTTATCTCTTTCAAGATATGAGATTGAGCTAGAGTGTTAATCTCAAATCCAGAGTCCTGTGTGAGAACTTGATTGCCATAATAGCTTGGTCTGGATTACTGTGCACGGGTAGGCGGGAGTGTCAGGTGGTGCAGCCATGACTGATGGGGGCCTACCATGATGGAGGGCATAGCAGAAAAGAGCATTATTGTAAGCTGAGCAAAGATACCAAAAGGTATCCACTCCAGCTGCCTCCTTTCTGCCCCTCCTCAAAGGTCCAGCCCACATGGTCGTGACAGAATGTCAGGCTGGTGTTAACCTGGGGACAGCCTTGAGCTGGGACCTCTGCCTGGAGACATGGGCTTTCCGGGAACGAATGAAGGGCTGAAATGAATAACCAAAGTGATTGGATGGTTTGAGGCAACAGCACAAAGTTTAGGACACTTTGATGTCTAGAATGGCATTCTCCAAACCTAGTTCTATAGCATTCCTTTTGGTCTCCTAAGATGTTCTACAAAAAATATATTCAGTGTTCAAGAAACTAGTGAAATGAGCTAAATGGTTTCTTACTGCAGGACTTCTCTGAGCCTTTAATATGCTGATATGCACTGTAAAATTCTGAGGAATGGATAAAGTATTCAGCACTTTCAACTTTAATCTGTAGAATTCCCACAATCATCTCAGGGTACGATGGGGGACTCTGGTGTTCCATGGAATACTGTAAAAATGGCGTGGCAGGGGCGTCTGACCTCCTCTAACTTCACAAGGGGGAAAGAGAATCAAGATTAACAGCCTAAGGCTGATTCCTGTGAGGCGGAGGTCAGACATACCTTCTCTCTTCGCCATCTTTACCAATTCTGGCACCAACTGTCCCTCCCACGGCACTCTATACTTCTCTGGTGGGTTCAATAATTTGTTGCAATGGCCACACAGAACTCACAGACCATACTCACAGTTATGGGGCTTATTAGGAAAGTAACAGGTTACGACTCAGGTTCAGGAATGCTCAGGATACAGTTCTTCCGTCAGGACAGCCTCTTCTCAGCTGTGTCTGCAGGCAGATCTCTCTCTGGCCTCACGGCCCCTCGGCCTGGCCTCTGCCCTGCTCAGACAAGTGTTACAAAGCTCTTTTAGCTCTGCCAGTAAGTGCCCTGAGGCACCCCACTCCGCCAGTAAGCCTGGGCCTAAAGGTGCTCAGCTCTAACTCCACGGGTCTGTGAACCTAGCTTCACCAAGTGCCTGGAGGCACCCTGCTCCTCCAGCAAGCCTGTTGCCCAAAGGCACTCAGCTTTCTCATTCTGTGGGCTGCTTCTGTTGCTGCTGTTTCTCTGCCACCGCTTCTCACCATCTTTGGTGTTAGAGCTCTCTCTAGGTCTCCTGGTTCCAGGAGCTTCTCAGTGCAGTGATCCTGGGTCCAAAGAACGCACTCCATTTCTGGCTCTTCTCTCTTGGTGGTGGTGAGTTTCTCACCTCTAGGATGGCTCATTTTAAGCCTAACTGGATGGTAAAACTGATCAATCCCTTTTTTAGGGTTCCATACATCTTATTTGCATGTTCATACTTCCACAAGGATGCCATGCACTGTGTTTGCATAGTCCCACCCAGTCATTTGGTGGGAGTTACAAGAGCAGGGAGAGAAGGGCCATATAAAATGATCCATCGCCCTGCAGATACCTTTGTCTGTTGAGCCACATAGCACTTTTCATATCATGATGTGTTAGAACTGGCTTCTACAAAGAGGTGAGAGGAATGGGAGATCTGTGTGTGGAGAGGAGAGGCCACTGATGATGCGAGTCTTGTCTGTAGAGATGGATGACAGAGGAAGTGTGAGCATACAAGGTATGTTCAGGGAATGGCCAGTGGTTCATCCTAGCTGGAGTTCAGAAATAGCTGATGGAGCTGGAAAGGAGATTGGTGGCATATGAGGAAGCCTTGGAGGCCAGGGAGGTTAATGTTAGATTAGTAGACAATGGGGATGTGAGGATAGACTGATGAGGTTTAGGGTGGGGTTTGGTAACTGAATCTTCTCACCTCTGTTTTCCTCTGGTGTTCTCTAGAATGGACAAACCAGATTCATTAATGGGAACCGAAGTTTTATCTTGAGTAATGGCTAGTTGAGTAAGTAGATTGGTGAACATGGCTTGGGCCCACTGTTTAAGAAGGTCAGATCCTGGCCGTATCCTCAGGGAGCTCCTTTTTTCTTTTCTTGCCCAGGCCCCTCTGGTGAGCTTTCCCTGCCTCCTCCCAACCTGTCAGTCCTCACCTTTGGGAGGCTTGGGTTGCATGTCATGGGGGGTCTCTGCTGGATTCACCAGTGGTGTCTTTTTTATTAATTGGGTCACTTCTCTGAGAGGATCTCATAGGCTGGGGCTGTTGTGGAGCTCCAGCTAAAGACTCCTAACAACTCTATTTGTGAACCTTGACCTCGGGTGGCCTCATTGTACAGAGCGATCTTTGACTATTGTGTGTTACTTGAATTAAAAGTTGAAGGTTTCTGGTTAAGGGTGTGTTGGAAGCTTATAGTGTTTTTTGTGTGGCTTTCTTTTGCCTGGTTTTAGGATACAATCCGTATGTTTACTAGCAGGGCATGTTCTTATAACCAAGCCAAGTTTATCTAGATATTCTTGGGGCCTGGGTGCTGTTCCTGAGCCAACTTCTTTTTAGGCCATCATAAGGCTGTTTTCTGGTCCAGTACGCTGGTTGATATTTAAAAGGTGTCTGTCTTTGATATTAGGTGGAGCCTAACACACCCAAAGCAGTGCCATGTTAAACTTTGGGAGGACAATGGGGCTGGCCAGACCATGGGTGATGACCAGCCCCCATATTCCAGACTTTTTCTCCACTCTTCATCTCCTGCTAATGATCCTTGACTATCGGAATTGGATGGCTTCTCCCCAGATGAGGAAAGTGAGGCTTTAATCCCAGAAAAAATGTGTCTTCCAGCAACATTCTGAAAACACAGAAATCAGCCTTGCTCTGTATTAGCTGTTATTCTTGTTGCCAAAGTCACTGCTTAGGCTTCACAGTTTTTGTACTCTGTTGTCTTTCCGTTCCTACCTGTCCTTGGCCATTTTTCTTTTTATAATCTCTGTCATTCCTAGTGCTGTAACCTAGCTGTCTGCCCTGCATATGTGGGGAAGTTGTCTTTCTTTTGTTCTGTGCATGTTTCCCAAGCACCTGCTCAGGGCCAGGTACTAAGGTAAATGCAGAGGGCAGGCAGGTTAGCCTACAGGTAAGCACAGGGACCCTAGGGCCTGTGTTCAGGCGAACACTGGATTTGCCACCTGTTAGCTGCTTGGCCTCAGGCAAATTACCTCAAATTCTTAAGTGTCAGTTAAACTCTCTGGGTCTTAGTTTTCCAGTCTGCAAAAAGAGGATTTTAACAGTATCTGCCCTGGTGGCGCAATGGTTAAAGCACTTGGCTGCTAATCAGAAGGTCAGTAGTTTGAACCTACCAGCGACTCAGCAGGAGAAAGACCTAGCGATCTGCTCCTGTAAAGATTACAGCCTAGAAAACCTTACGGGGCAGTTCTGCTCTGTCACGTTGGGTCGCTGTGAGTTGGAATTGAAT